GACTTGTTCTCACACTTGGAGCCCCACACAACTCATGCTCCATCCTGATCTAAAAGCTGTGCCCATGCTCACTTCACCCCAGTCCCACCGATCTTCCTTCTGCTTTTTGGGCAGTCTTCTCACTTCAGAGACTTTGTGCTTGTTCCCCCTTTAATCCCCAAATCTGTTTACTGATAGCATTTTGGTACTGTTCATCACTAGAGTACAACACCCTTCCCAGGGAGGTACTTCCTGATTGGCCTACTTAAGGTAGATGTTACCTGTTACTTCTTAATACCTTGTTTGGTTCTACCACCAGTTGACTCTTGCCCACTGGTTATTAACACGTGGACTTCAACCTCCTCCCCCCATCTCCTGCCCATTTCCATACATAAGCTGCCTGGAACAAGGATCTTAGCTGTCTTGTTTACTCTGCATCCTAAGCACATAGAAAATTAGTTCCACAGATGGTTTTTGAATAAATTATGTGAAAAGAAAATTTACAGATACAAGAACACGACATATTTTGACTATGACAGATCTCACTGGAAAATCTACATGAAGGCACCCACTCATATTTCAGTGTAGTCTTGGTTAAGAGCACAGAATCAGATGTTCTCGCTGTACTATTTCCTAGATTGACTATAAATATAGGCAAATAATTTCATCTTTCTCTACCTTGCTTTCTCACCTGTAAAAATGAGAAAAGAATCATTACTGAATGGGGATTTGGGGAGGATTAAAGAGATAGTGAATGCAGAGTGCTGAGAAATGTGTATGGCCCCTCTTAAATGTTCAACAAACACTGTATATTTCTAGCTAGGTCCAATCACTGGTTCAGGGTAAGGCATGGAACAACCTGGCAGAGGGACAATGCCCTGATGTAGAGAAATCAATGATTAAATGGAACTGTAGAGCTAGGTGGCCTTAGGTGATTGCTGAGACAAGTGGTGACTCAAGAGCTTGGGATGGCAGGAGCAGGTTAGTAAATAGTGCCCATCAAGCTTCAAAGTCACAGTTATTGACTGGTAAACAGTCAAGGTTTCAGAGTAGACCCTCAGGTGTACTAGGCGCAGCTAGGATCTAGGGTGGGTATCTCTATATGCTAAAAGGAGAGAGAACCATGTATTTCCTTATTCAATCTACTTACTGTACTAATCATACAGCTTTCACTAGTTTTGTGATTACTGTAAATCTGGGATATTTACTTTAGAGGGAAGATAATCACAATTTCAGTACAAAAGGCAGGTGACCCACAACTTAAATGCTAAGTCCTTGACTTCAAACAAAATGGAGATGCCCACAACAGAGAGTCATATCTGGAGATGAGTAGTACATGGACAAACAAAGAGTCATTTTATGCATGGATTCCAGAACAAGAACTTACAAGAAATACCAAGTTAGTCAAGCCCATGGCTTATACTGCCAGCCAGCTTTTTGCTTTTGATGGCTACTTCCAAGGAAGTTTTGTGAGTAAGTTTGACAACTGATCCTCTTTGTCACTTTTAGATTGGATTATCTTCTTATCAGCTCTTTGCTCTAATGTCCTACACTCTTCCATTTATCCCTTCTTCTCTAAATAGATCTGTTCAATTAACTTGTGACCCCCTCCGTTTTCTCAGATGATTAGAGATAAATGAATAAAAATAGAATTGGTATTAAACTCAATATATATGAAAGTATTAATGGCACACAGAAATAATCACGTGCTGTTTCTCAGACCAGGTGTGTCTGGAGTTTTTAAGAAGGCCAGAAATTTTAGAAGATGAATTTCACCATTTGTTTAAGATACTAGTGGTCAAAATACGATGCTTTTGATCTAGTCTATTATTATATTAACAATCCAACCTTCTTTTATATTTGCCAATACCAAAGTCATCAAGTCAATGAATAGAAAAGCATATGGATTTTTATTGAATTCTCTTGCCAATAAATGTGAAAGATGCCTACTTTTCTTGATGGGAATATATTAAAATGATGACTTTTTCAGAGAGCTTTTTACTTTGGAATCACTTGATTATATATGGCCTCATTTTACTCTAATGACCTTATAACATACATAGAATCTGGTATTAGGTTTCATCTCAAAAGTCAAACAACATACAGAAAGGCTAGGTGATTTCTTGAAGCCATACAGATCATTATTGACAGGATCAGATTTTGTAGACAAGTAAAATTTCAAAAAACATTTCACCAGAAGGATCAAAATATCATTGCCAGTTTTGTTATTTTTCCAGGAAGAGGAAAAAATAAATATGTAACTTCTACCTGTTCTTTCTACCATACCATAAAGCTACCCTTTCTTTATCATCCTGAAATAGGAAAAACATGATGTTGGAAAAAGCATATCCCTTTAATAAAATTTCCTTTATGAAAAAAGTCACTACTTCCTCTATTCCTCTGTCTCATTTTGCTGTGGATTGGTAAAAAAAATTTTGTTGTGATCTAGAGCTAGTTTTCAGACCAACTCTTGCAAACCAATTCCCTCTTTGTGTTGTTTTGAAAATAATACCAGCTCTTCCTCATCTTCCCTCTCCTCGCCTTTCAGTCTTTAAGAGGAAGAAATCAGTAACTTTCTTTCGAAAGAAGCTATTCTGATGCTGGTACTATAAGAACAAAATGACTGGAATCATAAGTTGATATCATAATCAGAACATAGGACTATTGATACACTAGATGTGATGAGGCTACCAGTGAGCCAGGACTAGGAAATGCAGAGGCAACATGTGCACCCAAATCACTGTTTTCAGTTGGAGAAAAACTTAAGTTTAATAACATGTCTACCTCTGGAGATAGGGGCGAGACCCAGGGAAACTGAGTAATCCCATAATAACATTTTTTTTTACATTATTTTAGTAAGAGACAAGGGCAGAAAAAAATGCTTTACACTTACCTTCTCATTTCTCACTCCAATTCCAAACTCATCAGAGGAAATTAATTAGCATGTCTGTCTGTCTCTACTTCCACAAACCTGCCTTTGTTCCTCCCCAGACTTGGTTTTACAGTCTGTATGAAGTTCCCAAGTCTCATATGACAAACAAATATCTAATTTTATAAAAGTACATATTCTGCTAGTGTATTCTACTAAAAAAAAATACAAGGGAATTGAAACTGGTTTGAGGATATACTCTTAAATTGTTGTTTCCTACATTTATTGATAGTTTGACATGGATGTTGTATTTTGGCATACAACAAAAAGAATAATGATCAAAATCTCATTCAATTTTATAACCTTGAACAATGCATGAGCCTCTGGAATCTATTATCTTCCTTCATACCTTTCTTAAACTTTCGGAGGGAACTACATAGTGTCGTGAAAGAGAAAGGCCGTTCAACCAACCAAACCCAGCCCTATCATCCATGCCACAGCAAGAATATCTGTGGCCAAGCTTGTCCCTTTGCAAAGAAGCTCACCAGTGGGATGCTTTGTCTAAGAAGGTCCCTGGTAAGCACCATGTCCAATAAAAACAGAGGAAAGCCACATTCCTCAAGGGGTCAGAGCAATATATTTTAAAAACTCTTTTAATACACACAAATTTGAATCACAATAAAATCTTTTTCTGAGATTAAAAAAAAAAATGAATGTCTGTGTATTATCAAATGGCCACACAGTAATACTATTTATATTTGCATCACATTTCCTGGTGTGTAAAACATTTAAACCTATGTCTTTATTTCTTAGTAATATTCCGAGATGGACAAGATGATTTCCATTTTTGGGAAGAAGAAATTGAGGCTCAGAGAGGTAACATGAGTTGCTCAGAGTTACACAAACATGAACTCAGACCCATGCCCGGTCCTTGGACCTCAGTTTGGGGATTTTTCCCATGCTTCACAAGGACACACATTTCTGAAGGTGAGCCCAAGGACGAAAAGAAAAAATGCAAGCTGACTTACTCTACGTAGGGCAAAAATCTACCTATAACTTTAGAAAGAAGACTGACCATACAAAATTTGAGAAGCTTATGGTTTTCTTCAGTTTTCTCATTATTACTACAATATCGGTACCATCTGTGTTCTTCTTCATCAGTTCTTTAGACCCCATCACATAAGCCAGGGCAGAAAAGACATTGCCATTCACAATAGAAATTGCTTGAAGTCATTTTCATTATACCTGCTCTTTCAAATAGACATCTTTGTGCCAATAAATGTAGTGGTTAACCATGTATATTAGTGGTTTGCATACAGGACAACAGCTATCCACAATATATCAAATAGATGATGTACAATCTATCCTTGCAAAATTAAGCAACAGAGCTAGCTTAACAATAAAAATACTCATGGCTCCCAGGGAGTTACTAATATTTATTTACTGTACAAAAATAAGTAGTCATTGCATGAAAAGTTTTTTATGCCAAAACTTGTCTATTTTAAGTAGACTAATCTTAGAGGTCAAATTTAGGGGCGTGTTTTCTGAAATTATTAACAAGTGTTATTTCGAGACATAACTTGGGATAATATTAACTAATGCTAGTAACTAATGCTGATGAATATTAGCCTTGCTGCTCCCTATGGCTTTTTATTTTCATGTCTAACTATAGGCTCTGCTCATGATTAAAAAAACAACACAACAGAATCACGAACAATGATTCTGAACTCAGTCTTGGTACTTCTTTGCCCCAAGATCACATCACTTAGACCGATTAAGTGTTAATTTTCACATATGTGAATAAATGCAAGGAGCAGAGAATAGCCGAGCTGCTCTGTGTGTTAGCAATCATTGCGGGTGGGTAAACTGACAACATGTAACTGCATATTAAGACAAATGTAGAATTTAGACAAAGTATTCCATCTCTTTTCAGATGTAGACTTTTAAACCTCAGGAACTGTTTTCAGTAGATGTCATGCCTTTTAACTTGAAAAAAGATAAGCGCAAATAAGCTCCCAATTGTCTCCCCAATATGTAAACCACATCTCGGGCTGCTGTCTCTGCTACTCCTTTGAAGTTTCCCTGAAATGTCATGTGTTGTGAAGACTGCTGTGCATAAGCAAGACAATTTGCTCACTCTCAGAATTCTTACCGGTTTCCACTGCTATTTGGTATCCAGCCTCTAGTCTCCGAGATGACCTTTCCAGCCTCTCTGTGTTATCGAGCAGATGTGCCCTCTGAAAAAGAAAAAGGGAAAAAAAAATCAGACGGCCGTCTACAATGTTCTTTTTTTTTTGCCTTAAAAAAATAATTCCTTCCTCTGCCCCAACATTTCTGGGTGGGGGGCGTCACCACCCATTTTAGATTAATTTTTAGCAAACCTTTCCACTGTAAGAACCACTACAATAGACAGAATTCCAATCAATCATGTATGGACCATTCACGATTTTGTATGAAAAGGCAGACTCCTGGAGTACATCGCCACGGTGAATCGCACTCCAGAACACTGAGAGATGTGGGAACACCAGAGCCAACGGGCTCTTTCCTCTTCAGCAGATGAGCAAGATGAGATACTTACATAGATGTAGGATATCAATTTTGTATGTCTTTTCATAAAATGCAATCATTTTAATAAAAAACCCTCATCTGATTCTTTGACAACTGCAGATAATGATTTTTAATGAAGAATTTTATTTTTAGAGAATGTCAATTTTGGGTGGGCAGCAAGATACTACACAGAACAACACATTCTACTAGCACAGAATACCAAGTAGCACTTCTAGTTTCAAGGCAACTTGTTCAACCTCCAAGAAACAAGGAACATGTGTTTCCCTACACACACAGATGTAAGAAAATATAGATTTATTCCTAGGTATGTGGTGAAATCTTGATATGTAGCATTTTAGACTATGAACTAAAAATGGTAACTATATATTCTTTTATGTTATTTTTGATGGAAGAATTAGAGAATCCTTAGCTTCTGAACGTCTTCTACAGTGAGTAGGGTATTTTAGCCATATGGATCATATATTAGGTCTATTCAGGTTGAGAACATTTATAAGCTAATAAAGTAATCATGGCTGGGAACAGATAAGACCTATGTGTGCACCTGTGAGTGTGTGTGCGCACGATACATGGGAACATAGGTATGTGTGTCTGTACATGTGTGTGTTTACACACACACACATACACTTGTATTTGTATAAATTAGTACCTTTCCTCCTCAAATCAGTTTTGGTCTAAGGTCAAAAAAAGGAAAATGCAGCCAGGACTCCTCTAACTTTGTGTTGTTGACAGATGTCATTTAAAATCGAAGAAATGCTTTCTGATAATAATAAAAAAGGAGGTGCCACACATATAATCTGAGTGGCTGTCGAGCGAAACGATCTACCTTGCTCTAATGAGCCCCCATGGATCTCGGAGATGCAAGCTGTATTGACATGCACACTTAAGCTAATACACCTAGACCGTGCCTCCAAGCTCTAGCAGCCAGGGATGCTGACAGAATATCTCGCTTCCATCTTCAAAGAAAGGAAGTGATTAGTATGTTATCATTACCATTCGAAACGTGATTTCCTTATTCCCTCCCGGCATAGGTGACACATCTGAGATGCGGCCAGACGTTGGAGGCAGCTAAAGCCACATCAAAGCTTTCCTTGAAAAAATTTTTTGGGGGAAGGGTTGGCATGGGGGGAGAAGAATCATTAAAACAATGCATTTAGTAAAGAAAGCTAGGACCTGATGTGAAGGTCAGGAAAGCTACAACCACAGCCCATAATAATTAATAGAATTGTTTAGTATACGATGGAGAAATTAAGAGAAAAACTGCCCCTCCCTTTACAAAAAAAAAAAAAAACTAAATAAAAGGGAAGAAGGAAGAAAAGCTTGTATCATGAAACTACAAAATCAGAGATGGCTGTAACTGCAAAAAAGAAACTTGAGGGGGGTTCTTTATGTTTGTTTTGGTATTAATATCTCTTTTAAATAAAATCAGACATTTTACTCCGCTTGTCAGAAATAGCTTTCTTACTCCTTATTCTTCTTGCATGCATGTTTGGGGAGGAGAGATTGTTCTCTTTTCTGAATATTATTTTCTATCCTAACAAAGGACTTAATTTCCAACTGATAATTCCCTAAAAGAGAACAGATCTGTGAAATTAAGAGTAAATCTGAATTTTAATCTAGAATAGAACAAAGCATTTAGGTTCATTTTCGTATTGGATGAAATCCCTAAATTCAAGAAAAAACATTTAGCTACTGCTGGAAAAAAAATAAATCAAAGGTCAATACTATAAATAGACAGTATAATTAAATTATAATATATACTGCAGGTCTCAAGCACATCAATGTAGAATGACTTGGGAGACTCCCTCCAAGGGAATAAAATCAGATTATTCGGTATATGACTATAGTGGGGAGCAAAATTTTAAAAGCATTTTTAAAATTGCATATCCCTAAATAATGGAAGTAACTCTTCTTCAGGATAGTTCGATTTTATCAGAGTCAATCTGCAGACAAGAGTTTACCAGCAGCTTTCCAGCAGGACCTCACTTTGTATTTTGGAACCTCTTCACTTAAGTCAAGCTAAAATCAAGTTCTTGTAACAGCTGTGCTATTTACATTGTTCCCTTAGTTGTGCTTTGCCCTGGTCTCTGAAAATGAAAGGAAATACACTACAGTAGCAGCTGATGCTTTCAACTTGCCCCCACCCTCCATCCCAAACTCATTCTCTCACCCTCTTCTCAGCCCTTTTCAAAGCAGGTAAGTGAAGCTGTGCAGAAGCTTCAGAGAGAGCTCAACTTGTGTGTGGAACTGTGCAATGTGGAGAGCTGGAGATGCAGGATTCAAACAGAGGGCTCAGCGCAGCCAACACCAGGGCTGAACCCTGGGCCCTACAGCCTGCCACTGAGGACGCCCTGTTTCCAAATCTGAACCCAAAAAAGAGCTTGACAAGGAGGTGTGGGCCACACTTTGTTACAAACACAACCTGTTTTAAAGTAGTGAATGCCTGTCTTAGCATAGGTACAAGGAAGAAATCTGGGGTTCACTTGGTGTTTGCTGACTATTAGACTTTGGCTGAGAAACAATCACTTCTAAGCAAACCACATACCCATGCTCTACATGAGTGTAATCTAGCCTATAAATATCAATGTCACATCCAAGTCTGTAAAAAGAATATTTCAGAGGTGATTATTCTATTAATTGAATGCTCTAATGCTTCGAGTACATTACAAGTTTCAGAAATTTGCATTCTAGAGCCATACCTGAGAAAACTGTTGCTATAAGCATAACAAAAGAATGGAGTCATAAACCAAAACATATATGAAAAGAAATGCACACATAATATTGCCAGGTTGTAGAATTAAGCTAAGGCCACTGAATTCAGCTTAACAAAAAGAAATCTCTGTCAAATGTTGATTATAAGATTTTATTAATTATAGTCATTCTTTGTTCAGAGACAAGAGCAAGTGTTTCTCCATACAGAGATTTGCAATTAATATTTGAAAATTCAGATCCTTCACCTAAGCATGAACATGTGCAAATACAAGCAGATTCTGTCTTGCAGAAAAAACAACACTGATGTATCACCCACCTCGAGAATAACCTTATACATCAAAACTGCAATGACTATTCATTACATTCACACTAAATGACTCCTTTAATATATATGTACATATATATATGTGTATGCATAAATATCTATTTCCATGTAGGATGACCCCCCCCAAAATCAAAAGGTTGAAAGTGAAGGCATTCTGTATTTCTACCCTTCATTTTAAATATCATTGTTACTTCACTAAGAAACAACATCACTAATGCATCTTAAAACAGAAGAATTGTTGAAAATCACTATCTGTAAACCTCTACCTTAGCATTTCCACAATTTAGAGGGTGATTTACAAAAAAAAAAAACAAAGCAAATTTCAGTGAATGCAGTTAGTCTACAGTTAAAAATAATCCACAGTACTCTGTTAAAAATACTATCCCTCTATTTATCTCTATATATACAAACTAAAAATATATACCTTATATGAATATATACAAGTTCTATGTAATATGGGCCTTTACTCTGCATCCTAACATAAACTAAAACTCAATTTCACTAAACAAGAACTCTATCTCTGAAGGGAGTACTAACACATATGTGACATGTTTGGCCTAATTAAAAAAAAATACAGAATCCCTCAACATCCTTCATTGATATGGGATCGTAATTATCAACACTACTACAAATATCTGCTGGCCCACAAAAATCTCTGGAGCTACACATACTAAATAGATTAGCAAACTCAGAAATATGAAACTATATTTCCTACAAAAAATATTTAAAAATGATCAGAGTTTTGGCTATCCTCATGCATCTATATATACAAAGACTATAGGGTATTTATAATGTATGTTTCCCCCAAAAGATAATAGACTCATTGTCTCTTATGCTGAACCAAAAAACGTTAGGTGGGGAGAAGGAGTTTATTTAAAAACAGATTTCAGTAAATTAGAATGTCAAAAAACAAGTTCTAAATATATTTACTTCTTTGAGACGCCAATACCAATAAAGCAAATCTGAAGTTAGTTTATAGTAAAACTATACTGGTATATAGTTTTAAGACATTCCTTTATTTTTCCCTCCTATTTTTGGCCTTTAAAATATGAATTTTTCCCTGATGCCATCAAATACCAAAGATCACTGTGATCAGTAAGGTTAGGATATGTTTGCTTTTAAAAAGATAATCAGCATAGAACATTTCTGAGCAATATAAACAATATGTTTACTTTGTGTAGATTTTCCTGGAAAAATGGGTTTGAATATACAGATTTAGAAACTCAATTTTATAGAGAGAAGCAGAATTTAAAAAAAAAAAAGCTAGGAAATACTCACCTCTTCACGTAATTTTATCAACTGCAACATGAATGCACACAAAAAAAAAAAGATAAAAAGGGAAGAAATGGCAGGAAAGAAAGATCAGTTGTGTGACAGGATACAGAATTAACATTGACAATTTATCTGTTTACATGTTTAGCATTTAAAAATCACAGACAAACACATTAAAAGAACCTAAACATAGACTACATGCAGAGTTTTTTGAACGAATAAAGATCACTTTCTCACACTGTCACATTAAACAAAGAGAATAGTGTGAAATCCTCTTTTAAAGTACATCTAAGACACCATCATGAAATAAAGGGGAATGACTTCATAGAAGACTATATTATAAAGAAAGAAAACAAGTTTACTGTTCCTCTCTTCTAAGACTGTACCACTGAAGAGGATTTGTATATACAAGTTTTCAGGATGTTTCTCTGTTTTGATGTTTTAGGATGTTTCTCTGATTTCAGATTGTCCTTAAAAGTGAAAATGATTAATAGTTCATGCTATTACCTCAATAATGACTTAAAACAGCAGAAATATGTTAGTTAAAGTCATACTTGCAACCACGTTAGTAGTAGGACTGCTTTTGGAGGTAATGCCATTTTAAATGAGAACACAGCAAGACAAGAGAGGGAACATTTAGGACATAGGATTGGAAGATATTTTACTGCCCTCAAAAATATCATTCATATCAGAGTTCATTTGTAGGCTTTTTGTTTTGCTTCAGAGGCTACTACTATCCCATCCTGCATTTATTTTAACTTTGGAAGTTTCTTCATTTTTCAATTTTCTTCATCTTGTAAACTGGGCCATCTCAAAGCAGGGAACGCTTACTTCATTTGTACTGAAGTCTGTTTGCAAAGAAGTCAAACCAAAACCATTCTTGTTAGTAAATTCTCCTAAGATAACATTTTAATTCTCCTCTGTAGAACATGTTTCTGCTTGCCTTATATACAACAGTTAAAACAAGAGACTTAGCTCTTTAAAAACTAGAAAATCGATATAACCACGTAGCAGATTCATATTGTGTGTGTTATGTGCTTGACAGTCTTTTAAATACATATATCATTGTATATTGAGATGATGGCCACAGTTTCTGCAAAGAATAGAAACAGAAACCTATGCTGTGAGAGATTATAAACCACATCGTAGGTCTGAAACTTGCATCCTCAGCAATTCAGGTCTACAACTGATAATTTTTAAACATCCAAGTATCTGTAACATCTGTTAAAATACTTGACATATGCAAGCCCATAAATTCAACTACTGCTTTGGGAGAAACGTGCCATGAATTGCTCACTATAAGTTTCTCTCAAAGTATCGTGTTTATTCTAACCGGGAATTCTCAAAGCTTAATGCTGGTTTTGTCTGCAGTTTAAGGAAGGCAGCAGGCATCCCAGCTTACTCTGCGACTTCATTTGTTATAAGAAAAATATTTCAAGTATAAAAGAATGACATTTCAAAATTTTTATGAATCTTTTATATATATATATATATAAAACCTGCACACTTGATTATTGGTTACATCACTCTTCACAAGGGATGCAATGCGAAAATGAAACTTTTAATATCCTTTCAAAATAGCAGTCATTGTTGTTTTTAAATATAAGCTTTCTCTCAGCAACCATTGCGACATGTTCATATGCAAAGTTACTCTTCTTTCAAAGAAGCAAAATTTAAACTAAAAACACCTGGCCTATCATAAAGCAGAATCTTTCTATCTTTGCTATCCCAACATCACGCAAGAAAAAGGCAAACACCCATTCTCCGAAAGACACGATCTGGGAGGGGGTCGCCGAGCTATCTTTTCTTCCCGTGGACTATCATACTTACAGGGCCAAAGTTTAAAACTACTCCTCGGCAATAGAGACCATTGCGGCATGCCACCCTGCCATAATCAATGAGTGTTTAAAAATGCTCCCCATTTGTTTTTTCAATAGGTCCCAAACAAAAAACGTTCTATCTCATTTGTGCTGCATGGCTGAATGCAAGCCCCACACCGGATTTGTAGCTAAGCTAGGTAATGGAAGGGTTTTTAATCTTTATCTTTTTTTTTTTTTTAAGTTAGGCCGAGAGTTATTCATTCGAGTAAACAAAAGCTGGTCTATTTTTGAAAATTAACAATGCTTAGACTGGACTGAAAGTAGTGGTTCCGTATTTTCTCCAGTTACCAGCTCCATCCCAGGCGACTTGAAAGTAGACCATGCCACCATGTTGAGTTATGATAATCAACATCTTTTTTGAAACAAAGATTTTTTTTTTCCTCCTCAATGCAGAATTTGATACAAGAGGTAATCTGTTCCTTTGTGGGCTGAAAAAATCTGGTTTACGCTGGTTTGAACCAGTGGAATCTCTTGTGGTTAAGCCTTCTGCTGTGACTAAAATCAAAACTGCACTGCAGAGCGCGTGAGGGTCCGTGCGCGCGCGCCTCCGAGTGGGAGGTGCGTCACGTGACCCCCAGAACTCCCGAGTTTTTTTTTTTAAAGCTGATAACGCGCCTGCCGTCTCTGTCCGCATACAGATAACGAATAAATGCTGAACTCTATTAAACGCCCTTTACACATTATCGTGGGTCGAACACACAATTTTCTGAACTTATGATGACAGTCTATTTATTTTGCTATAAACCCTCAGCACGTAACGAACAGATTTGTGCCTGGTAATGATCTGCTCTGCCAGGGCTATATGAAATGATACCGACCTTCTTTAGATCTTGGGGAATTAAATTGACCGACTTCACCCCCTGGTCTGTGGCTGAAGTTTGACACACTTTATGCACAGCAAGTCCAAATGGGAACTTAAGAGAACCTCATCTTAAAAAATTAAGCAATCATATCTGCTAAATATTGCTTTACCACAAAAATTTCGGCACGTTTAGAAAGATCATGCTCTTTGTACAATTTTTTGAATCTTCTAGTTGGGATTTACTCAAATTTCACTAACTTAAATTTATTCACGGATCAATTCAATTTTGCATGTGGAAACTGAGACAATTAGGTTTCAAAAGTAAGGCAGGGGAGATTTTAGTTGCCCCATTACCATACTCCAGTAGGAAGGGGATTTAATTCTTAAAGATTTTTTTTCTTTTCTGGGAATGGTTTTCATGAATTAAATCAAGTTAACAATCACTAAAGTTTCCCTGCTAGACACAGCATCTCTATATTTTGAGAACTCAACTCTCTCTTCAAAAGTTAAAATATTGCCAGATGGAAAAGAAAGCACGATATTTAAAAAAGAATAGAATGACAATACCTCAGACAATAACAGTCCTTGGAAAGTGATGACTTAACAATACACGGATGTGCAAAGTAAGTGATTCTTTCCCTGTCAATCAGGGGGTTGTATTGCTTTGTGTGAAATGGACATCAACTAAAAATTAATTTATACAAAGCAGTTAATTTGCTAAATAGAGTTGTACAGTATAAAGGACATTACAGGTATATTTGGGGAAAAAACCTATGTTTCTGAAATTTTGATATTCCTAATCATGGCATAAATGCTAATATACCTATGACAAATTAATATACTTTAGTTAATTTGGAAGGTTCTAATGACATATACTAACAACCAGGTCTTATATATATTTTAAAATGTATTATAATAACCAGAATGTGAAATAATAGCAATGGCAGTCACATTTGTCTAAATCTTCACCAAAAAAACCCATTATAAGGCAGAAGTGCCTACTTATGGAAAATCACTACATAAAATCACAAAACCACTGCTTAATTTATTCTACTTATTTGCAACCATTCCAGCTAATTCTATATTATCTCCTTTTCTGATAATTTTTAATTGCAATATTAAAAAATATTGTTTCAGTATAAGAAATATTGCTATTTTTATATCATTTGCCTATCTCTAAGGCTTCCCTATCTACTAAAAGTTTATCATGAATATTAGAATCAAGAAGTTCTAAAAATTAATTTACCAACAATTAACTTATTTGTGAGCAGAAAATATTTCCTTATATGTATTACAGGTAATCTTGCCCAGAAAACCTGTCATCTCATCATAGCATTACAAAAAAATTAATATGAAGAGCTTATGTAAAATCTTTTCTTGCTCTAAAGCAAGAACTTCTGTTTTCTTTCTATAGGTTGAATGAATACTGATTCAAAATAAGGAGTTATTCTCAAGTGAACATTTTTGGTTAAGGATGTCCTTTCATTCTGAAGGTTTTTAATTCCTCTATTATAATAGAGTCTCAAAACAAAATTTAATGACTTCATATGGAAATTCTGCTATATTTGGTAACAAAATAACCAAAAAGTTAAGTGTGATCTCTTTGAACTTTCAAACTTAATTCAAATTTTAGATTGAGAAGTTCATATAATAATCTAACAGTGACATAGTCTCATGACTATAATTTATCACACTCTATTTATTGAAGTGACAGCTCCTTACAACTAAACTTCAGGTTTCCCAGCACTTTCAGAATTTCTAAGTTTGATTTATACAAGTCCACGGGAAATCTCTCCATAATCACTTTAAAGTGACAGGAATATAATTTGAACAATTCAGAAAATACGAACTCAATCTATTTTTGTGGGATATTTTACTGTAGGCATAAAAAATCATACTTATATGTATGTGAGGCAAATGTTTTAGGCACATAAAATGTCCATTAGGAGAAATGAACATGCTTTAAAAAAAAAAGCTCCCTGTCACAGTACTATCATCCATTACCATAAAGGAGACAGAGTCAGACAGGAACAGGCCCTTTCTATTTCCTCTGTATTAGGCAGTGGTTTCAAGTGAGGGAAAGATCTATAGCTGTTTAACAGATTGACGTGGGACTTCTGCATTCACTTTTTTTTTTTTGCAAAAAAAGGCTTTTTTTTCAGTAAAGATAGGAAATAAAATTATGATTCACTTATTCAAGAGATATCAGCATCTAAATCTCACTTAAAATAGGAAGAAAATAGTTTTTCTCATCCTCACATTATTTAATCTATTATAAGTAAAAACCCTTTATCACATCACTCTTTTATGTTTGATGCGTTCCTTCTTTTTTTTCTCATAGCTTTTCTCACATTTCAATCAGAGAAGCTGAAATCCCAAGTTAAATCTTAACATCTTTACATGTCTGAACTCCAACTGATAACATCCAAATAGTGGCGGTGGTGAGATCTTGCCCCAAACAAACATAATCAGCTCACTGATGTCTCCTCCCTTTTCTGGGGGTGGCTGGATGGGTCCATCATCACATAAGCAGCATATCTGTTTTATATTAACATGCTATATTAGCAGCATACCTGTTTACAATATTAGCATGATAGCAGATAACAATATCGTTTCCTTACACTTAGGCCTATAATATAATCTGCCTGAAGTAACAAACACAATTGTGAAATTTTTATAATGTATATCAAGATCTTATGCCTTATTATCTTACTAACACTTAGTTGATGCAATGAATGACTTCTGTTTATTGTTCTCTAAGCATGGTAGAGACCTCTGCAATACTTGCCGAAGTGGCATTCAGAAACAGTTCAGATCTTGCTTCTGAATTCCCCTATCACTTATTTTCTGTAAAACTGTCAAAGAGAATCCATTATTAGGTTTGTTAAAGACATTTTTAAAGCCATCTTTATATTGCAATTCTTGTTTCACAAGTCATACATTATCCATATGGATTGTGGAAGTCTGCAGTGTTAATTCAAAGAAAGAAGCAGGGCATTAATTGGACTGATGACATCACTGTGTGATCCAATAAGAACCCACATCCAAGTTATAAGGCCCTTTTTAGAAGAAATTGAGTTTTAATTTTTGCCTATGTGGATCTTAAACTGCAGAAAGACATTTCCTATTGTTGTTTTGCTGTTATTGCTATTATTTGACAAAGCAGACGCTCTATATGACTATATCCAAGCTGCACACTGGTGCTTACATTTGCATTTTGGTGAATGTATTTTTAAGAAGCTACACAATAGGAGACTGAGCTGCCTGCCCTGTTGAATTTTGAAAGCTTACTTTCATTTGTTTTGCTGCAAGTGTTGATTTAATTATGCTGCATTATTATCAAAGCTGTATTATGGACTTTTTCATTCCTTTTACATGTGTTTGAGGTGAAGACCTTGGCTTTGTCTGCAAACAGTGTGTTTCAAGTTATTCCTTAAGTACTAAATAATAAAGAAAAGAGAAGAAAAGATTTTTTTTAAGATAGCAGACAGTGATCACAAGGTAAAGGGTTAAATATAAGATCTCCAAGAAACATTTTGAAGTTGATTAAGACTCCAGCTTTGCATTAAACAGTATCGCTTCCACATGAGTTGCTGCTAATACTGTTAAGGAGCAGCTTGAGAGCCCAGTGCGCCAGTGACCCCCTTCACCCTCCAGCCACCCACCGGGCCTTGCTGATTAGCATTCTACCTGGTTCTCTGAGGAATTCCCATCATCCCTCAGGAGCTCATTCCGTACTTCGTCACTGTAGGCGATCCGTGACCTTTTCTATAAAACAAAACAAAAAGGGAGAGAGAGCAAGATGAACATTAGAAAGTAAAGGCTTGGAAGCATCGTCGGTCTCCAGGCTGATCATCTCAAACCTCGAGAGCCCCCTAATGGAAACCTATTTGCTAAAATCTGCAAACCAAAGTTGTGTCAAGTTTTCGAACTTGAGAAGTTTTTCAAATGCCAATAATGAAAGAAAACTCTGTATTCTGTAAGTATTCTGTTCATATTCACAAATGGGTTGTGACTGGTATATGATTCCATACAAAGTCATTCAAAGAAGGGCACTGAAACTGAAGGAAATGCAGTTGTATAGCTGTGTATCTGCAAGCCCCACCAGATTGTAATTAAAATGAGAGTAGATGGGGACCTTTAATATTGTGGTTGGAAATGACCATGCAACAAAGGTCTTTAAAAGTCTCTAATTTTAGGTTATTTTATCTCCCAACTATACCCCCAGAATGCCTGGAACACAGCAAATCTATATTTCTTTCCTTATGTCTGGTTAGTGATGTTATACAATAATTTAATAGCATCCACGTCCTCTATAAATAATGCCCTTCAGAAAGTGTGTGTGTGTGTGTGCCTGTGTGCGTGCCTGTGTGTAAGCGCACATGTGTGTGTCTGTGCGTGCATCTGGTAAAACAAATTAAATTTCCCAAGCCCAGTAAATAAAGGCAAGAAGGCTATGAGTCAACTTTTCACAATCCCAGCAAATAAAGACAAGTGGGCTATGAGTCAACATCAGACACTGAAATTTTGTTTTACAAGAAATCTGCCTTCACCTGTAAAAGTCAGAGGGACCTGTCTCAAGCAGTTCATTAATTATGGACATATGTGTGGAAAAGCTAAAAAGCTTTGAAAATCAGTTGCAAAGCTAAAGTGCCATCCTCAGGTCCTACGTTAGTATCACTATTTCAGACCCAAATACAGATTTACAGGTTCATTTGCTGCCTTTTCTGCTTCTGAACATACTAAATAAAATCAGTCAAATGAAAACTGTCAGGTGGGAAACAGTATTATTTTTTTCAGTTGGGTTCTAGAGTTTAGAACTTAAAATGTTTAACCTGCTCAACTGTGATCTGAAAAGTGTTTGTTTAAAAGGATTATCCATGAATAGAAGTCAACAAGATTTTTATTTAGATTTTTCAACTAGTGAATAAATGACATTCCTTTGCCACCACACACATCACATTATTTTAAACACAAAATCATATTGTATTAAAATTTAAAATGATTAAGGACAAAAAGTTCCAATAGATTTTAAATCATTTCAAAGCTTCAACCTTTCTCCACTGGGGCTCCTGAGCTGAGGCACAAAACACAGAAAATTACTTCAGTGACTATTCTCTCAGTTTTTCTAAGGATCACACATAAGAAAGAATTTAGTTCATTATATAGAACAGAAGACTTCAGGGGCTAACTCTCTGGCAGACGGCGGTGGAATAGGGCCGAATGGAGTACAAATAAAAGTAAGTCTACACATCCCTTTATTTTTTAGAAAAGAAAAAAGTCAGAATCATGGAATTCTAAAGGTAGCTTTGGTTAAACTGAGAGAATAACCTATGTATCGCACCTTACAGCTCAGTCCTCCTGCCTAAAATTTCTACCCCATTTTATTACTGTCTGGATACACTGAGGAAAAAGATAGAAAAAACTGCAAAATGTCTCCATATAAAGGAGATAGTGGTATCCTCTCCCTGCTCTAAATCTGTACCCCAAGTCACCCTTCCCTGCTACAAGTGTTTACATTAGACTTTGGCAAACGCAGCAAGTCTGTGAGCAGATAAATAAACCAACAATGCTTGCAGACAGGACAAAGTGGAAAAGTTAAGTTGTTAGCCTGAGGTCAGTAATGACATCTAGATCAGATGTCTTAACAATTCAGGAGTGTCCCAACTCATTTATTTGTGAGCATACCACACTTCTTACCACCACAGCGATGTCAAGTCTGCTTTTCTTACTGTAGTTACTGACGCTACTATTAATTAGCTATGTCATTGGCTCTGTAGAGGATTATGATTAAAAAAAATGCTAAATTAGAAGGACATACCCTTCATGGCCTTAACACAATATTTAGACTAAGCCAAATCTTTCTTTTGCACGTTTGGAGCTCGCTACTACAGCAGTTTCAAACTAGCTGAGCAAAAGTGTTTAACAGTATTAAAGGAAATGAGAACCTTTAAACAGGCTGTGGTATCAGAGCTGCCTTTTTAATTATTCATTTCATCACTATGGGGGACTAAACCATTCCACAGTATGCAAGAATATCATATGGAGATTGTTTTTGTTTTTCTCTTTTTTCACCAAAATACTAACAAATTGGCATAGATTATTCCATTATATTTTATTCTTATTTTGATCTACTATGCTTCAAAAGAAGTTGCAAACATGTTTTCTTAAATACCTAATCTTGTGTCAGTTAGAATCCATTGCTTCTGAAAACCGGCAATTAAGAGGGTACAAGCGCAGCAATAGAGAAGAACTAAGGAGCTCTCCTCCGTTGAAGGGTGGTCCCTATAAATGTCATTCTGGACCATTGAGGCAGTTAAAAATCAGTCATTTGGGTGACTTTCTGGATGTAATTAAGCAAGTAATAATGTGAGCTTACAAAATGTTCACTAATAGAATTGATTTCTCTTAAGGAATGAAAATAACTCATTTCAGATAGTTCCTCTTGAAGATGATATAGTCAGTGGAAGATGATATAGTCACTGAATTCTTAAAACTCAAGTATTGTTATAATTTTATAAAAAATCAGACTTTGTTTTATTAAGAGTTATATTTAAATGCTGGACATTGCTATTTTCTATTATTGTTTGAAATTTTAAGCAAGCTGATTCTAATCAACACATTACTATATTAATTGAATCCCAGAAAAGGCAAATTATTTTGAATGACAAACTGCTTATATTATGGATGATTTTCCTCCAAGACATCAATAAATTAATTTTACTTTCTATGAAAACTTTAAAAATCTGACTCTATATCACCAAGTTCTATGTCTTTCTTTAATTTGGAAGATTCAAAGTTAATGAAACTGAAACACCTACTATATCTTCATAAAAAAACTAAAGTATTTTTACTTTGTTGACTGTATAAAATCTGTACTTTAGCCAAATGCAAGCATGAGAATAGGAGCTGGAAATGTCACACACTCAGCTACAGTTTGAAGGAACCCAATTCATAATGCATGTTATAAATAGTTAATGACTTCTATACATAAGCTAACCAGGCAAATCAAGAAATTGTCAACATTTTTAGTCTTAGTTGTCAGTTACTACTGTCTACTGGTGCTTTGTATGTGGCTTTCTGGAGAAGGCAGAAGCTCTATGCAGTCTGTAATCTACTGCAATTTCGGGTCTGTACCACAGGGTGGAAAAGCTTCAGGTGACAATAACTGTCCCTTCCCCCCCCCCCCCCACAGTGTTAACTACAAAAGTACTCCTCACTTTTGTTTGTGTGTTTGTGTAAACCCTGTTCCTGCTAACTTCTACATGCTGGTAGACCAGACACAGTTGGATGGAAAAATCCACACACTTAGATGAATGACAGAAAAACTATGACAGTTTAACAACTGATGGTTATCCCTAAGAAGTAAGATGCACAAAGTTTCAATGGCTATTATAAACTGATGTCAAAAATGAGTCTTTGGTTATAAATGCAAGACTTTCAAATTCCAGGCAATTTTCACTTGGTATATGAACAGAACTTTTGCATACTGATTGCTTTCTTAAAGTCAAGTTCAAACAGATACACTTGCTCAGTTCTGTCTGGAAATTTGACTTGAAAGAATTTATCTACTTGACCCAAACCTTAACATTTCCCAACTGAACTGAGTATGTTCCTGGACAGGCACTGCGAAACCAGAGACAAACTGAATTAGCTTAGCTTAAACTAATTAAGAACTGTGCTCTGTGGTACAGCCTCCTGTATGATTCTACATGTGACTGAGGGGACACTACCCAGAATGAGGATCCGACAACCCAATGCTATCATAAGCATAACAACGAAGTTGGTTTAATACTAATGCGTATATGAGAATTTAATTTCCATGGCTTGCACATGGCAAAGCAATTGCTTAAATTGCCTCACCTGGGAATTTAATACAATGTTATCATCAAACCAGCCACATTGTAAATAGATTTATAATGCTTTCCATGTGCTGCACTCTGTTGCATATGAATTAAGTAATGATCTGGTATTACAATAAAATCAGCTAGTTCCCACACCTGGCAGACAGGATATTTCACTAAATTAATACCCATACAGCTACATCACAAGGCATGGGAGAGGAAACCATCTCTAAGGCATTTGACTTGAGCTTTACATGGGAGGCAAATACTCCATGACTGTGCAGAATGTCATGGTGTTGAACGGGGTGCTCAGGACAATCTGTTTCAAACATCTGTATCACAGAAGGAAGACTTTCTCATTCCCATTCAATTTTGTCCTAATTTTCTTCATTCAGTGCTTTAATTACTAATCAGCAGCCCACAACATTCACAAACACCAAGAAAGCCCTTTCTTCTAATCTATGTGCTGCAGACAGTTGAATAATTGATACAAAATGCAGTATGGTTTTGGTCAGTAATGAAAGAAAGGCTTGTCCTACTTCCTAATCAAATTGGCCTATAGAAGAAATGGTTAATAGATTTCTCCATAGGTCTAAAGCAAATTACCCAGTCTGGCCAGACTTTTCCATTGCTTCTACCATGCCTTTCAGTCTCCACATATTTAATAATGCCCAAGGTTACCAGGTGATACATCTATTAAAAACTGTTATGCTTTCATAGCCAAAGAATTTAACTACCCTAAAGAATTTAACTGCTCCTGTTATAATTAACACTTTGGGATAGCTACAGAATACCATGAAATTATATTTATTAGCTAGTCACATAATTGCTAGCATTCATTTCTTACCTAATTTTATCTGGTTCTAATTAAATAATATCATACTTCTGTAATGCCCAGATGGCATTTCTAAAATGCATCTATCT